TGTTCCATGAGCAGGGCGAGCTAGGCAGGCACAGCTGAAAAGTCTCAATATGTGAATGAGAAAGTGGTATAGAGAGGAGGGATTCAGATTTGTTAGGCAATGAGAAACATTTTGGGACAAGCCAGACCCATACAAGAAGGACAGCTCTATTTGAACCAAGATTACTGACACATAATATAAAAAAGGTGGCAGAGCAACTTTTAAACGAAACCCTGGGGGAGAGCCAACAGAAGGTGGGAAACATTCTGTTCAGGTGAAATCATCCATAGGGAATGAAGATGGGAAAGTTTCTGAATGCCCAAAGCAGAAGGAAGGGAAAAAATGCAAGCATAAGGCAAAATAGTGCCAAAACCTAAGGAGAATGAAATCAGGAAAGGCAAACAAACAACAAACAAACAAAAGCAGTTGCAATAATGGGTGATTTATTCCCACAATGCCTGAATAAGTGTATGTTCCAATTGTGAAAAAGATGGTAAATTTCTTCATGTCCTAAATGACTTTGGCCTGGAACTGACCAAAGTTGGGGCAATCCTGGATTTAATACTAGATGGGGTAGCCCAGGACCTAGTATGAGATGTAAAAGTTGAACTGACCAAAAACAGTGACTTTCAGATTTAGCTGGAAGTTTCCAAAACAGGCTGACATTTGACTTCAGAAGCTAAAACTTCTCTAAAATAGAAAGTTGAAGTGGAAGTCAAGAAAGTTAAATTTCTCCAAAATGCTTGAAGATTACTTTAGACCACAATAATAGGTGCTTGTATTCTTGTGGTATCTAAGTTAGGAAGGTAATGCAAAGTCCAAGAGGTCATAGCATGCTTAACAAAGACTGTCAAGGTAGCTTACTGAGAGAAGGCATCCTTCAGAAAATGGAAGTCTTGCCCAAGTGAGGAAAACAAAAGAGAGCACAAGCTTGCATAAAGGAGATGCAAGCAGCCAATGAGATGCAAAAGCAAACAAGCACAGAAAAACACAAAAAAATTGAGGAGCATATTGCTAACAAGGAAGGAAGGAAGGAAGGAGCGAGCTAGAGAGGCAGTTCAACCACTGAATTATGATAATGGAGTTAAATGCATACTAGAGGACAAGGACACAGAAGAGAAGCTGAATGGTTCTTTTAATCTGTCTGCACAGCAAAGAATAACAACAGCTACCTGAACGTATGCATCTGAGGAATTAAGGTAGCTAGTGTGACGAAAGATGAAATTCTCAACCTTTCTGACAAACTGAACTTTAATAAATCAGAGACTCATGAGCAAACTTACAGTCATGGAGTAAGATGGAGGATAAGGATATCAATAGTTGCTAGTCCTGATGGCTATGTCCTGCCCTCAGTATCAGAGGCAGTATGCCTGTGTGTACCAGTTGCTGGGAAATGTTGGCAGGAGGGGATGTTCGCACTCATATTCTGACTGTGGGATCCCATGGGCAGCTGGCAGGCCATTCTGTGAACAGAATGCTGGACTAGATGGACCATGGTTCTGATCCAGCATGGCTTTTCTTATGTTCCATCACACATTCTCATTTGGTTCCCTTAAAAAAAAGTCCAAGAATGTGAGGCACTATAGCAGCTTTCCCCAACCAGGTGTTCTCCAATTACTCTACAACTCCCAACATCTACACCCAGCATGGGTACTGTAGTCCAATGCTTCAGGAGGACAACAGGTTGAAGACAGCTTGCTTATACTACAGTTGCTGGGGTGTGTCCCCTATTCAGTACTGTGCTTGGAGAGTAGACAAATCCTGGCTCGAGACAACCACCTGGCTAAACTCCATCAGGTTTTGGCTACTATTATATCATAAAGCAGATTGTGAAAGCCTAACACATTATCTTGTGTCAGTCTCCACACTTCCAATAGGGATCTCCTCACTTATCAAGAAATTAAAGCTGTGGGGTATCAATTAGGTTTTTTAAGTCACAAGCAAGCTTTCCAAATATTAAAAGGAGACTCTTGCATTAAAAATTCCAGGAGTTGTTGAGTGCTGCCAATAAAACGTGTTCCCCTGTCTACATATTTTATTCAATATTGGACAAATGGCAAAGAGCAGAGGGCATATTCTTTGGCAAGATGTAACGTCATGCCGTCCCACCTAATGTCAGGTAGATTTAAAGGGGTGTGATATGTGGAAAGGCACTGCCAATGTGGAGGAGGTGTGGAAACAATATGACACATGCTTTTGGACCGCTCACTCTTTGCGGAGCTGCTTACCAAGTATCTAGGTTCGATTATGATCAATATGAGAGCTCTTCAGACCAGGAAAAGGTCCGATTTGTCCCATCCACAGAGTCAGCTGACATAGTGGAGAGAACAGCAGCCTTTTTGCGGGAGATTGTTAAGAATCGGTCTAGTGCCCATTAGCAATGCTGTGTTTGGGGAATCTCTGCGGGACTGTGTGGATTTATGTAGATTTGTATTATGCCAATAAAGGTTCCTATATTATTAAAAAAAAATTACTACAGTCCGTGGCTGAATCACAAAACGAGAGGTGCCGGAAGGGTTGCGTAGGAAAAATCAATAGAAACTGCTGCCTCGGCCAGTGCGTCAATGCATTCTTTGTAAAACTACTATATAGGAAGGTGGCAGATTTAAACATTGCCGCCCTACAAACTCAAAAGTTCTATTAAAAAACCTAGATCACCTGAGACCTACCACTGCCTTCTCCCTTCTTTCTATCACAATTGTCCTATGATCAGCCGGAACTCTTTTTCCACCGACTAGCACTAAACCCTCAGGCCGGAACTTCTTGAAGCGCGGTCCCAGGAGCAACTCGAGCAACTTTTCTTGCAGGACGGAAGTTGTCCGGTCCATCTCCATGGTTTGCCCCCCCCACGACGGAATTAGGTGAGAAGTCTTTCCTGAAGCGTGCCGGGGCGACTGGCTGAGATGAGAAATGTGCGTGGGGCTCTGTGGCTCTAATGCCTGGGTGGGTCTCTCTCGCGAGTCGAGCGTCGGTCTTTTAGAAGGGGCTGTGTCAGTTTGGACTGGTCCCGATCCATTCCTTTCTGTCTTTGAGCCCTGATCGTACTTCTGTAATTGATGCGGGCTCGGCCTCCCTAGAACCAAAAGAGATAATATGTAAAACGGTGTGTAGCAGCTATATTGGTTCTCCTGCATTTACTCTAGAGTAGGTTTAAGGCCCCCTGCCCTGATTGGAATCCTTGCCTGACTAGGGATTTTTTGAAGATCCGAATCGGATCTTGTCTCTACCTTTACATTAGAATAAAAATGCAGCAACCAAAGAAGACACAGATGCTGAAGTGCACTTAACGCAAAGTCTGTCTGGGTCCTTAGTGCCTTTCTGTTTTCCCAGCAGTTGCTCTACCACTTTAGGGCAGGGTTACTGTGTAGGTCTACTACACCTACATGGTAAGTATATAACTTGGTCGGGGCAGCTTTGGGGAAACTGCCTCTATTTAACTTCTGCTTATTGATCTATTAAAAAGAAACACAGAGTAGAGCAGACCAGGGAAGAAGATCCCTATTCTCAGCAACTCTTTTCCCACTGCTCTTTTCAATCAGAGTTTGTTTTCCCCAAAGATTGTTTTTGCCTCATGGGTAGTGTGGCTGTAGCATCTCTTCAGTTCTGCTATAACTCAGTATAACAAGCCCAGACACTTAAACTGTTTTCATCACATTAACTTAAAGTCTTCAAGAGGAGGCTGTCATTTGCACAGTGAAGAAACATTTAGCAGGGAAGGTTTTTCATGAGGTCACTTAATAAGAGTGAATCAGACATAAGGGGTCCATCTAACCTTATATTTTCTAGTTCAACTTTCTCTGTTTTGGTTGACAACTTCCAGCATTCCTGACAGTTGGCAGTACTGATTGAAATATTGGGCAGTCCAGAAAATCTAGAGGGCACCTTGTGCAGAAAAGCTGGTTTTGTCTAACAAGAATCTACTTTTTCAGATTTGGAGAAATGGTTTCAGAGGTCCAGTAATTGGAACTACTGGAATCTGGGGCCTTTTTCATGCATACTGCCACAGAACTATGGGCTTTTAACTGTTTAATTTTTTTATACCCTTCTGTAATAGAATGAGAAACAAGGGCAGGATGTATCCTTAAACTATCTTTCACACATTCCTGATTATTTTCATTTTAAAATTGTGTACTGCATTTGTCTTCACTGAGTTTAGAAATCCTTTACCCTTGCTGTGAGTATTTATTTATTTATTTATTTATTAAAACATTTTTATGCCGCCCCATTCGCCGAAGCCTCGGGGCGGCTTACAACATAGATAAAACAATAAGTTAAAATATCCATAGAAAATAATCTTAATTAAAGAGTAGGTGATCTCTTGATCTTTTTGATCTCTTGGCATTTGTTGACCAGGTGGAAATTTGCCAAATGCAGATGACCGAAAAGAGTCTAGTTACTAGATTGTTTCTTGAGTAGTGTTTAGTAGCATTTTTCACTTTCTCTTTCATTTCCATGTCTTCTTTTCCATGCTTTGGGGTATTTCTGTCATGTATGCTTTCTGTTCAGTGCCCAACATGCCAACATTATATATAATTGTTTAGTACTAGTAGAAATTAATGGAATTGTTTTTAGGTTTTTCTGATTAGCTCACTGTTAAATTATGTGGGAAGTCTGGGAGGGATATTTCATAATATTTTTTAAAAGCTCTGACATCATGGAAGTACCCAGCACCTTATAAAGGAAAATCCTCTCAATATCTGAACACCCTGATGGCAGGGAGTTAAGCGTTTTGCCTAGCCTTAGTCACCAACCTCAAAAATGTGGTCAACTGCTCCTGGTGGTTCGCTCAGTCAGTTCAGTCTGGGCACTGTATCCAATCAGGGACTAAGGATAACAGCATCAAACCCATTCCCATCTAATTGCTGTTCAGCCAATATACTTTGAACATGCTGTTCCAACAAAGAAGCCCCCACCTGCACATCTTGTCATGTGCCAAACCAGGAAAGCAGGGCTTGCTGGTTTGACCCTGCATTTAAATGCTTTGACTGATTTCCTTGTTACCAAACAGAGAGCAAGGATTGCCCTAAAGTTTTATATTTTTATCCTTTTTTCCTTCCAAGAAACTCAAGGCAGCCTACATGATTATCCTCTTCCTTTCAATCTTAGCTTCACAACAAGAATCCTGTGATGAAGGTTATGATCCCATCCACCTTTGCAGAATGATTATTGCAGCTTCAAAGTTGGAAAGAATGGTGAGACTTGGCTTATCCTGCTCACCAGGCAGCAGTGCAGATTGCTGGATATGACAAGCAAAAAATTAGAAACCTGCTTCTTGGGACTTTGCCAATTGCACCTGTATTTCTTACAAATGAAGAGGTCTGTGAATTGTGTTCTTGCCGTGGCCACCCTCCTTCTACACCATGGTTAGGCAGCTTTTGGCCTTCTAGATGCTTTGGCCTATAATTATCATGAGCTCTAGCCAGCACAGCCATTGTTGCAAGATGATGGAAGTAGTAGACAAAAACATCTTGGAGGACCACATGTGGTTCACTCCTACCTTACATCTGGCAGTGTTCATAGCAGTATGGTGTGAAGGTTGTTATTATTAAATTACATTTACACCCCACCTTTCTTCCTCTTGCAAGGAACCCAAGGTAGCTGGTAAGGTTCCCCTTCACTCCATTTTATTCTCACAGCAACAACCCAGTGAGGTAGGTTAGGCTGGGAGTCCATGACTGAGCCAAAGTGATCCAGCGAGCTTTATGGTTTAGTGGAGACTAGAACTCAGATTTCCCAAGTCTCCCTCCAGCACTCTAACCACTGCTTAGTATCCACATTCTATGGTTAGACTGGAATTCAAGACAACTGGGTTCAAGTCGCAGTCTGCCAATGGGTAACATTGTGTCAGTCACTGATTATCAGGTTCTCATGAGGATGAAATAGAGAGGCTTATGAATGCCACTTTGGGTTCTTTGCAAGAGGAAGACTGATGAAATTTAAATGTAATAATAAAGATATTATGCATTATGTTGGCAAAGTGTATTCAGCTATTATGTGTTTGCTCCTGCTAGATTTTACTGGTGTGGTGTGACTAAAGATGGCAGAGATGCAGATGGATCAGGACCTTGCCAGGCAGCTCTTTTTTGAGGGTGCCACAGTTATAATTTTGAATGTGCCACAAGGAACAGAGTTTGGCATTGACTATAACAGCTGGCAGGTGGGCCCCAAGTTCCGTGGAGTCAAGATGATACCTCCAGGTATTCACTTCCTTCACTACAGCTCTGTTGATAAGCACAATAGAAAAGAAAGTGGTCCTCGCACTGGGTTTTTCTTGAACTTGCAACAGCGTGATGTGCGAGTGTTGCGCTGGGACCAAGTCAAAGAGGAAGTGGACCTCACTCCAGCATCTGAGAATGAGACTGAAGCAATGAGGGCCAACCTCCAAGAGATAGACAAGTTTCTGGGTCCTTATCCATATGAAGCTCTTAAAAAATGGATCTCCCTCAGTAACTTCATTAATGAATTTGTGATACAAAAGCTGCAACCAGAAAGTGGACAGATATGTGCCTTTTCAGAGGTGCTGCCTGTTTTGGCTGGAAAGTATACAGAAGATCGAATTGAACAGAACCTGCCCCCGTATGACACAGCGTGCAAAAGCTATGCAGAAGGCCTTGCTCGGTTGCCTAAAATGCAGGTGAAAGCTGGCACTGAGATCAGATTCACAAAAATACCTAAGCAAATGTACCCTGAAGGTGCTACACCAGAGGAAGTCACCAGACACAGTATGGACCTCAGCTATGCCCTAGAGACAGTTATCAATAAACAATATGCCAGCAATTCCCAGGATGTGCTTGGTGAGTAAACTTGCCTTCACTAAAGTTGCTGACAAACTAATACATGGATGTTACTTTCTTGAAAACATAAAGCCTGAATTGTAATGTAGACATCTGCTTCTGATTAATATGTAATTCCCAAAGCCATTTGCAGGTGTTTGCAATGCTTTTCTCTGTTCTCTGATCAGGTGCAAACAGCTGGCCATTTTTTGTACTCTGGAAAGGATACAGGTACCTTGGCAAGTAGGATAGTTGTAGGTTTCTTCCCAGGCATAGTATTGTGTGCAAGACAATCCATACTATCATGCAGTTCATGATAATATAGTATAAAACAGGAATCTTTTCTACCTCCCAGTCCTCATTAGACAACCAAGTTTGAACAACAAAGGTAGTAGATGAGTTAAGGAACCCAAAAACTTCTCATGTGCAGTATTGGTGACCCCTTGTGGTATAGCCTTGGCATTGCTTTGATGAACATTGTGACATTCATAATTTAATGACTTGTTAGAGACAATCTGCTGGTATTCCTCAGTAGTGGTACCTGAATTATCATTTGTCACCCCTGGAAACAAAGAAAGGTTATACACATACAGTAATGCTTACTATAGAGAACATGTTCTTTAATAACATCCTCCATGTGTCATGGGGTTGATAACTAAAAAGGCAAACTGGAATGACAGTGGCTTCCTTGGAATTATAGTTATTACTAATTTAGCAAAGTTTAATATCTATTTCTGCTAATTTACACACATTAAGAACATTTTGCACTAAAAGTAAATGCAGTAAAAATAATTTAATCAGGTTCACAGAACATTAAGCTTTTCACACATTCTCAGTTTAAGCTATTTCTTCTTTGCTGTTTATCTGTATTATATGCTGACTTCCACAAATCTGCTTGCCAAGAGCAAATACTGCAGGCTGTTTTGTGAGAAGGATGGCCTACAGCTCTTGACAGTAAGAAAGAGACAACATATCTCCTGCTTTTTCTTCTACACAGCAGAAATATGAGAAATCTCTGCCTCTCCCTCAAGCACTCTACACATGCCTGGGTGCAGTGGGGTGATTTGGACAAACATAGACATTTGCTAGTACGCTCATTCAGTATTTGTGGTTCCCTGTTCATATGGTTTATTGCTTGCTTGGATCCCAGGAGACAGTGTTAAAAGCATGTTTGTAGTTGCCAAAGTGACAGAACAAAATGGCTTCCCTGCAAGATGTGTCTTCTCATTGTGCTGGCCAGTGCTGTTGCATTTGCCTCTTCTGGCCTTTTTATTTAAACATCATTTTAATTGTTAAAACATATGATCTGGCCAGGGCAACTTCTTCTTCCTTCTCTTTTCTCCTCCTATACTATTTATTTACTTATTTTATACTGATAATTTTAATTTTATATTTGTATCTCAGTGTATTTTTTGTATTTTTGTATTTAATGGTAATTTATTATGTTCTTTTCTATTTCAATGTATTTTATTGTGTTGTAAGCCGCCCCGAGGTTTCGGCAAGGGGAGGCATAGAAATGTTATAATAATAATAACAACAACAACAACAACAACAACAGTAATAATAATGTACCACAGATTGGCAATAATTAAAAAAATACCTGGCTTGTTCTTAACTCTTTATTTTCTGCAGCCAGACCACCAGCAGCTGTCTCACTGAAAATTAGTTGGCAAGGCAGTGATTATTTGACTCTCTTAGATAAGTTCTCTGAAGCACAAAGTAGTAACAGTTTTTCTTTTGTCTCTGTTACATTAAAAAAGGAAAGGAAGAGAATGGGCCAGTGCATGGAATAGCTTCTGCATATGGACAAACCAATGTATCACTCTCAGCTGAGTGTCTCCTGTAATTTATTTGTTTGTAGTTCTTTGATCCATCTTTTTCATTTAGCACACACATTACTTTTGTAGCATGGAGGTTAGTCTGGTATAACAGCTTTGAACCAACCAGGAAAGAGCTAGTCTGGCCTTAGTTAGCCATACTCTAGTAGCATATTGGGTAGAGTATTGTAAAATGCTATATATGATACTACTTTTGAAGGCAGGAACTGTTTGGAAATGGCAGTTAATTGGAAGATATCCACTAGATTACTTACCGAGACTGGGTCTTATAATTATATCAATGTGCCTACTATTTTGGCTCCCAATTCATTGCCAGACCAAATTCAGAGTTCTGGTTTGACATAAAGTCCATCTCAGTTTACAGCCAGGTTGCTTGAAGGCACATTAGTCTCTACCTTTGGTAGAGCTCCACTTGCATGTGCCCCCACTGTCTGAAGTGAGACAGGTAGCTACCAGAAAAGCACCTTGACCAGTGGTGACCCCACTGTGGGAGAGATTGACCAGCCATCTATCTTACTGTACTTTCAGTGCTATGCAAAGACCATTATTATTTTCCATGCCTCTAAGATAAAATGGTAATTCTAATGAATGTTCTGTGCTGTGTGTTCTTGCTTTCCTTTACATGTGCACATGTACTTTTTTCCTATTGCGAATTGCCCTGGGAATATAATTGAGGGGCGCTGTAAAACTACTTTAAGGAAATAAACAACAAAAGTTCTGTAGTCTTCTGACATTTCACCATAACTGAAGCTTTCTTTCTTGGTCTGTTCTTACATTTTCATGATGGGATCTTTCCAGGGGAATTGCAGTTTGCCTTCATCTGCTTCCTGATTGGGAACGTATATGATGCATTTGAGCACTGGAAAAAACTGCTGAATCTCTTATGCAGGTCAGAGGATGCCATAGCAAAGCATCAAGCCTTGTTCAGCAACCTCATTTCTGTCCTTTATCATCAGCTCAGTGAAATCCCAGCGGACTTCTTTGTGGACATAGTCTCCCAAGACAACTTTTTAACCAGCACCTTACAGGTAAGGGAGCTACTTCTGGTGTTGTATAGGTTAAGGAGCAATAGCATGAAGAATTTTCCCAAGTATTATATGGATGTGTAAAATAAAACGTCAGCTTAAGCATTGACTCTCACCCACAGAAATGGGTAGTTTTTGCCCCAATAGCATATTAAACCAAAATTTTAAAAGCAAAGCAAAATAAAACAACAACAAAAAGATCTTAGTTAAAATAAAAATTAAGGTTTGTCTTGGGCCAGAACTAGTTCTGATGGTGATAATGTTTTTGCCTTCAACAGTGTGCCACATTCTCTTTTCTTTTATAAATGTTTTGTTAATTGAATATATGACACAACACAGTCACATGCATTTTCTGCCTCAGTTCCACATTATTCTCTGTTACAAGGCAAGGAGGCTGGGAAATGAATTATACATGATTGCACATTTCTTTAATTATGCATGGAGGTAAGGATGAGGTGAGGCATAGGGTTGCCCCTTTCAGCCAGTAGTGTTATAACTGCAGTTGCGGCTACAGCCCATCTTACTGAGGTTTGTTTTTTAAAGCAGGAAACTCCTTATTAAATAGTACTGGAAATCTTTATTATAAGCAGCACCTTGGGTTGCTTGTAAGCATTCTTCATGCACTACTGAAGAATTTAAACATACTTCTATAGTGGGATTACAGTTTGGAAATCTTGGTAGCTATGCATTTATTATTTCTATACCATTCTGGAAGCATGAGATAGATACAAATTAAAGTGCTTTGTGGGAGGAGCAGACTCACTGGTCTTTCCCTTTACAGGGTTCTCTACTAAATCATATGGTGGGATCATGTAGTTGTCATTGGAGTTGAAAAAGGTCATAGTGCAGAATATTTCCATACTACCAGAACAGAACATGAGGGTTCCCAAATCAGTTGTTACTCCACAACTTTGAAAGAGTGATCAACATGTCTTAATGAAAGTGATCAGTGAAACAGCAACACACAACACTCACACCTCTCTTTTGTTTTTTGTAAATCTAGAGTGTAGCTTACTGGATAATCCTTCACTGTTCTCACATCAGTGGCATAGTAAATGTTTGCTGTAAACTATAGCAGCAGAGGGATGTACCACATCCAATTCAAATTATTCCTGTATAAAATTACTGCATATTCCCCTATCGATTTGTTGTAGTTGCTTTTTGAATGGTGATGTTGACAGCTGCCTTGAATATGCTATCGGTAAGGCAGGATCCAACCTTAAAAATTATATACAACCCCATGTCTAATGTAGCTCAGATGTCTAACTTTTGCTTGAACATCTCCAGTGAAGATTATGTCACATGTTCTGAGGCAGCTTAATTTCTCCTTTTTATTTATTTGGGCTATTTTCCTGACAAATTCTTTGTAGTAATGATTATAAAATAGCTGCTCAGTGTTTCAACAGAATGAACCAAAAGACATGCTACATTTTTGTGTGGTGGATGAATACTGCTTTATTGATGAGGTCCCCTGTCCTAATTCTTGTTACAGGGCTATTCTTCATTGTATATTGTTATAGCTGGTTTTTTGTTTGTTTGTTTTGTTTTAAGATGTTTGTATTGTTGATAAAATTTTACGGAATGCTATTGTACTCTTTTTATTGAATGATGTGAACTGTCCAGAGAGCTTCAGCAATTGGGTGGTATAGAAGTGAAATAAACGAATTCCTGAAAAATAATCTTGGAACAATGCTTGAAAGCATGTGATTTTAAAATAATGGGCCAATATCCAAAGATGCATGTGTGATGACTTTCCATGCATGTGCAGAAGACTCACCACCTTAACACCATTTCTATCTTTTCATGTTTCGATCAGTGCTACTTCAGAATCCATCAACAGTAAGGACCAGCTTTTTGAGTAGGGGCTTTAGTAGGAAAGGGTTCTGAAAGTTGTAGTGTATTAATGAAGGATTGAGTATGGCCTTTTGGATCTTGGGCATTGCATTTAGCTATTCTGTGTTGTTCATTCTGGACATTGCTCCAACACTTTTGTCAACAAATTGAAATTCATTGAAGCTATATAATAATTGTAGATTACTTCATTACAGCTTTCAGCTGAATAGAAGCAGTACATTTTTTCCAGACAGCTGGAGGAGACACATCTAGCCTGCTTTATGACTGTTATAAACAAGTGTTACTGACAGCAGGTGGTGGAAGACTACTGCAGTATGCCATTAAGAACACAGTCCTAAGGGATTGCCTCTTGATAGGAGCCAGGCAGGGCAGGAGGAGGAAGATGGAGGCTCAAACACCTTCAGTTCCTTTGTTTCTTTCTTCTTGGTTTGATTAACTACCATTTTATAGTCAGAGTGTGCATCAGAGATTTGTACCCTGTTTTCCTTTCAGGAAAAATGTCACACATGACAGCTTTAGTATCCTGGGAATCCTGGCATCTCCCTTTTTCCCTGTTACCCACCATCCATCCCCTTTCCCCTCTTCCCAAGTTTGTCTGAGGCCACCACTGTGATCTTCAAAAATCAGCCTGTGCAGAGTGTACATCAGCAAGGGAGAGAGGATATGATCCAATCTCACATGTCCCCTCCAAAATCTTAACAGCATCTACCGCCTTGGGACAGATGGTCTGCCTCTTCATGTCCCTTGGATGCTCTTCCAGGGAGCATAAGATTGTTCTGTCACTAAGTATATATTTGTTTATCTGGAAGACCACATATATTGTTAGCTTGCTGTTGTGTCCATATGTTGGCTTGGTTAAAAGCTTTTTAAGAATAACTCAGTAGAAGACCTATTTAATATCTTACCCATTCCTTATGCTGTCATTTTAAACCAGACAAATGCTTCCAGCAAAATACTGCTGTATCTCAAATAATGTGGTGACTTGGACTACTGAGATCTAACTCTGGATACCTGATTAACTACGAGAATCACTGGGTGACCATGGCCATTCCCTTTTTATCAATCTACTTTGCAGGGTGTCTGTGTAAATAAAGCAAGGCTTCTCTCATGTACACAGCTATGTCATCTTTGGAGAAAAAGCAGGATATATATGTTAATCACATTGCAGCAGAAGAAAGTTTTTTACATATTTGCTCACAAGCAAGGTAATTCAAGTCACCTGTGTACTTTTTTTGTACACACTGTTTCTACACCACCAGTGAGTCTTTAATTGACTTCCTTCTTCTCATGTGATGTATATAAATGCTACTGACCTAAAATGTTAAACAGGATGATCTATTGCACCCATGTACCACCAGTGGACAGCTGATTGGCCTTCTTGTGAACAGTATGCTGAACTCAATGGACACTTCTTCTAGTCCAAAATATGTTCTTATGGGAATTATTTGTAAAGCACTCCCATGGCTTAAAATATAACATGGGAATGTGTGTCAGGTTTTTGGTGCTCACTGAAGCCTGGGTGGTGTTACATTTCTGAATGTTAAGAACAAATTCTTCTCAAATTGGATTCCTGCTGAACCATTTCCTAGTTCTTCCTTGTGGTGACATTCCACTTTTTACTACTTTATTGATGGCCCAAGCAGAGAGCTTGCTGGATGTCATTGTGTTAAAAGTGTGATTGCATTTGGCAAATTGACAGAGTAAAAATGACTCTACTACACAATATGTCTTCTCACCATGCTAGTTAAAACTGTTTTACTATTTTCGACATGGGTGTGAACTGTTTATTCCATTCTATTCCAATGCTGCCCCATAACCCAAAGGTTCTATGGACATCTTACAAATGGAGTGAGCACAAAATATTTAACCAAGCTTTAGTTGAAGCATTTTTGTGATAATGATGCTTTAGTCTCACCTGGAAAAACTTGGTGCCATGAAATTTGAAATTTTGGCCAAAGAAGAGTATATTGTTAGCAATGTTGCTATATCAATTGAAACAAGATGTAAGTTTTATTTTAGTAAATGATAAACTCGGGTGTGGATTGGTGTTTGCTTGTTTGGTTTTTGAAAATTAAAGTTTATGATAGATATAGGTGACTGAAAATAGAGGTTTGTCCAGATTGCTAGGAGGGCAAGAGAGGGAAGTATAGGTAACACTGCAATTCTATGCACATTTAGACAGAAAAAGTCTTACAGCTCCCAGCAACATGGACTGTTCTGTCTAGAAGTATTTAAAATCATGTCCCAAATCATACATGGTAGGGTTCTACTCATGAAGGAGTTCTACTCAGTCATGGCACAGCACCTTCCCTCCTCAAACACTGAAATCTCTTAGCTTTTTACAGATATTGCCTGCATGTTTTTAAACATATCTCCATAACCATAAGAAACTTGTTTTTAAAATCATGATAAATCATTTTGTTACACAGTCACATCACTGCTACATTTAATCTTTTGTGGCAAAAAAGTAAAATGAACAAAACAAGATTATTTGTGTTATGTAATAATGGACAAATCCTGCAGCAGTTCTTACATTTTCACATGCACAAAACAATTAACCTGGCCTAGTAGGCAGAAAGATGGTTGCATAACTTTTTGATATTGTAGCAGTACCTAGCTGATTTTCTTCATCTAAAAAACCATCAGCTGGGCTGTAACCAACCGTAACTTTGTTTATATTCTACACTGCTGGTGAAGGAAATGAAGCAAAATCATGGTTTTCTTTTTTCTAATGTTAGAATTACTTAATCATGCAATGATTTTAGTTTGATTAAGCACATCACATTATGATAAACAAGGGAAAATGATGGTCATGCACAAATCAGTGAACCTCACAGTTAATTTTCAGTTTGTACTATCGCTGGCTGTATGTCCTTTTCTGCTTCCCTTTCCTTTCCCCTCCCCTAAGGGTTCTTCATCTTTTACAAGTACTAGTCTTTACTTGATCCTGCAGTGAAAATGACTTTGCTTTTGGTCATTGGTCCGTTGCCTTGGAAATGAATTACATGCAACAAATTTAGCATAGCAGCCAAAGAGATTAGCTTAATGATCAAAGTTCTTGTTTAATCAAACATGTATGTGATGGATCAAAAATGCCAAAAGAAAAACTCCATTGTTTGAAAAGTGAATTGATTTGTACATAAGACATGAAAAGTCCCTTTAGGAATAAGTGTTGAGTGTAAAGATCAAATATTGATATAATCAATCTTAATAGTTGATAAGGAACTTTTTGATATTTTCTAAAATAAGGTTTCTGCTCACCTAATTAATCAGGTAGCTGATCCTTTTAGAAAGGTTACTTATTTTTAATTAAACTGCTTACAAAAATTGTGGAGGGCAGATGCCATCTTAGATGCATTTCTTCTCATCCTCCTCTCTTTAACTAGAGAAAGTTTCTGTAAGATTGTGCCTTGCTGTGTGTGACAAGTTTCCTTGGCTCAGCACTGCCACGGAATTTCATGGCAAGGAACTGCATGCAGGTGAATGGGTAGGTTGGCAGAGGAGAAATGGATCTCTGCATTGCTCCTTCAGCTTGTTTGGTTTCCAGGCTGATCATGGAGGAAAGGAAACTACTTTCTCCAAGCTTGGCACAAAAATGCAGTGGGCTGGGGGAAGAGGAATGGATTATTTCCTCCATTTTCCGCCAGCCTGCTTGGTGGAAGGCTCTGTTTTGTCTTCTGTTCTTACTATGAGGTAAGTAGCCTGTGTTTCCACAGTTGCTACATCAGAGGGAAGTGTGAAAACACAAGTTGCTTCCCTCTTCGCAGGCTAACAAAAATAATCAGGCCACTAACTTTTGCCTGTTTATTTACAATGCTGCATGTATGATGCATCATCTAAAAAAGTTTTCTGCTATTTTATTGATAATGAATTCACAAATATTTTTTGAATTGCATGACAGATCTACTTATTTCAGTAACTTGTTCCATCATGTAGGAGTAGTGTTGAAATGGGTATGGTGTGAGATTTTATATTGATCTTATTTGTATTTATTGTATCTAATCTTATTTCTTCTTGCGCAGAATAAGGTGACTAACATGGTCCTTCTCCTTCCCATTTTATCCCCACAACAACCCTGTGAAATAGAATAGATTAAGAGTCAGGAAAAGTCACCTAGTGAGTCTTATGGCCGAGTGAGCTCTAAAACATAAATTATTATTTATTTCATTTCTGTACCACCCAATAGCTGAAGGTCCATGGCTTGTTTACAACAGTTAATAAAAATAAAGAAATAAAATACCATATTTTTTCCAAAATATAAGGGCATTTAAAAATTAAACCATCTAAAACAATATCATTGTATTATCTCCTAGTCAAAAACGCTGGCCACTGTTCTACACTGGCTATCTTTTAGTTTGAGTTTGTTAGTTTCTATACAGTACAAGACTTATAAGACCCATTTTCTTTCTGCATTAGATATGAATTATTAATAATTGGGCATGGTTTGGCTCAGTTGTTTCTTCAAGTCAGAACACAAATCTTTCAACCATGTTGTGAATCAGTTTGTATGGATAGTAGCAGGACTGCTTAATAATGTATCAAGTGCCTTTGGGAGTATATTAGGATGTGTTTTGTACCCTTGTCATTTTCTCCCTGGTTAGCATATTTTCTGTGACTGTATTTTTATCAGAGCTCACCTGTCCAACATTCTCCTTTCATTAAAATCCTGAAAAAGAAGGCAGCAATAACTCAGTTTGTTTGCCTAGGGGTATGTTTTGCTGAAATGAAGAAATGGGAGCTTGGGCATCTTTACTTTGCTATGAAGTTGTCTCTTCTCCTGCAACCAACACGAATTGCTGTGCTTTGATAACTGACTACTGGGATTCTCGTTTGAAGGAGATGGATCTTTGACTAAAGCTCATTGATACATGCTTAATGTCACCATGAGAACTTAGGTTCTTTGATTAAACCACTACCGGTGTCTTCTTCAGGAGACATTGCACCATCTGTCTAGACCGTTGTGTTAACTAACTTTTGTATTTTTTTCTAGGTATTCTTCTCTTACACCTGCAGTCCAGGTGTTGACAGGAGTCTAAGGAAGAAGGCAGAGCGATTTAAAGCCCATCTAACCAAGAAATTCAAGTGGGACTTTGAGGCAGAGCCAGAGGACTGTGCTCCAGTAGTTGTGGAGCTGCCAGAAGGGGTGCTTGCGGACTGAATGAGCATTGTCTCCTCTCTGTCTTTTGCATTCTCATACCGCCCTTGGTTCTCTGGTCAGTTAATCAATGCATAATTCATGTTCTACAGTTCTGATTCATGATTCCTTCATTGAGACCAAACTGAAAAAATCTAGCAAAAGAGCATATCTTGTTCCTGCTGGAAAATAGCATTCTGGAAAAATGAGGATTAGATTACTTGTGGTCTGCATACCAAATTGAGTCACACTGTTCTCCAAAGCCTTGCTCTGGCTTAGTTCTTTTGTTACTGCAATCCTCATGTAAATTTACCAGAGAGTTAGTCCCATTGAGCACAATGGGACTTTCTGTTTTATGAGCAGGTGTGACTTATGATGGACTTCTGTTTGTTGACAGCCTAATTTGAGACAATAGGTTTTTGCTCTTGGTTTGCTTATTCTTTAGTATCACACTATATAAGTGGGAAGGTGGTAAGCCTGATTGGTCTTGTACTTGGAAAGTTGTGCATCATCTTCTAGCACATGCTTGAGCTGAACAAAGCTGAACAGAAAAATCTCATAAGCACTGTAAATGGAGTTAGCCCACACAACTGAAGCTTGTCACTCATTGTAAATCTTCAAGGTTTGCTTTTATTGTTATCCTCCCTGCTAGAGCTTTAGGATGTCATATTCAATTATGATGTCTCCACCTATTTCCTGAGCACTGCTAAAGGAAGCAAATGTGAAGAAAAAGAGACATTTCATTTTTAATCCAGGGGGCTATCTAAACCATACTAAAAAGTGTTAATTCAGGGTTCTTATTTCTTTTTACTTGCATCCTTTCTCAGGGTAGCAAAGACTTTTGGTTACTTCAGAGTAATGGACGTGCTGTAGCCTGCAGCAAGCACACAACTTGAATGCTTTCTCTGGGGTGCAAGATACTGCTGAATTTTTCAAACAAGGATCTCTACCCTGTAGGGATTTAGCTGTTAGTTTTGCTCATTCCTTTGTAGGCTCTTAGGCTCCGTCAGGTATTGATAGTGTATCCAACAAAAGAACTACATTAACGTCAATAGGCAATATATCTTTCTGTATTAGGTTTCCTTTCAAAGTATCCCTAAAATCTTTTGTATGTGAAATAGTTTGGCAAAGATGTGTGTTTGGTTACTGTTAATGCTGCTGTGTGGAAGGTGCAACACTGTTTATGATGCTTACCACCTTGCTCCTGCCCAGTCACTAGAAATAGTGTTCAAGTGCTATTAAACTTTTGATATGTTTACCGTTGTTAGCTGCAGAGAACATGAGTTTATGCCCCATATATGTGCCCCATATATATGCAAAACCAGTCACAGAAATCAGATATAGAAGATTAGCTGACCTTAAACCAGGACAACCTACCTTTACATTGCACATGTGTGAACCTTCAGTCTTAATGCTAAACCAGTGTGATGTAGTGGTTAGAATGTTGGACTGAGGATCAGGAGGCCTGCGTTCTAGTGCCCACTCAGCCATGAAACTCATTGGGAGTCTTTGGGTTAATCACTGACTTTCAGCCTGGCCTACCTCACAGGGTTGCTATTGTGAGGAAAATGGAGAAGAAGAGAACCTTGTAACACCTCTTGGATTCGTTCCAAAGGGAAGAAAGGTGGGATATAAATGTAATAGTAATGAACCAGAGTTTAACATTTTGTCAACAGACCTGCTTCCCTCTCTTCTGACATGGCTTCAAGAAGAAGAACAAAAACTCAAGCCCCTGAAATTGTGGCTAGCAGATATATCTGAATTAGAACAAACTGGTTAGCCTTCATGGATCACTGCCTTGTCATGGTGAAGGGGCTTGCATAGCTCACTGAAGCTATGAGCTATGCCATGCAGGGCCACCCAAGATGGACAGGTCGTAGCAGAGAGCTCTGACAAAATGTGATCCACTGGAGAAGGAAATGGCAACCTACTCCAGTATCTTTGCCATGGAAACCCCATGGACAGTACCAAAAGGCATAAAGATAGGACGCGGGAAGATGAGCCCCTCAGGTCAGAAGGTGTCCAATATGCTACTGGGGAAGAGCAGAGGGCTAGTACTAGTAGCGCCAGAAAGAATGAAGTGACTGGGTCAAAGCCGAAAGGACACTCAGTTGCGGATGTATCTGGTG